TGTAGATGAACCGTTTTTGATAAAACTTTTTATTAGACTCTCATCAATACTGGTTGTTGGTTTCGGTTGTTTGTTTTCTGCTATATTAATTACTCTTCTAATTAACTTACTTGAAAATATCGATGGTGACAGCAATAGCACATTACAAGTCTATCAAATCTTAATCTTATTTACATCTTCCTTAATTTCTATTTATAGTTTATTTACAAAAATTTCTATTTTTTCTCTAATTAACTATTTTTTCACAGTCCTTAGATTAATCAAATACCACTTTATAATTGACTATTTCATAGTTTTAGCTTACTCTTCCTTCATACTATACTATCTTTACAGTTATGTTTCCTTAAAATTTAAAGTAATGTTTATTTATCTTTTGAATAGAATTTAATAAAAAATTTTTTAAATTGGAATTTTTTAAGAAGTTTAATTTAAATATACTTCTTCTAGAAGATATTTCTGTCCTAGTAAGTAAAGTTGACTTAATTGTAAATCAGGCCAATAAGTATCAATAAACTCAACAGCAGTTCCATTAGAAACTTGTCTTGCTAAAAAATCACTTAATCGCTTTTCTCCAGATGTTCTAATAATCATATCTACCTGATCATTAAAATACAATCTCTTATTATTAACATCTTGATCACAGTCACTATAATTATAAACAAAGAACAAATTAACCTTAAAACTTTTATCATTAAAATCACTATTTAAAGATCTTCTCTCAATTTCTTCTATTTTGCTAACTAGCTTTTCATCTTTCAAAAGTTCTATATTTCCATAAAATCTAATCTTAACTGGTAAATCTAACACATCAATATTTTTGATATAATCAATCATTTCAGTGACAATACCACCCCTCTTTAAATTTCTGATACCCAATACATAAAAAGAAGCAGAATCACACCCTTCTAAATAGCAATATTTAACCATTTCATTAATTTTATAAAGACCAATCATTTTAATATCAGAATAGGTGTTAAAAAAAGAATCTTTATTCTTTTTAAACCAACGTCGGTTACCATCACATATAAAGACTAAGTTCATGTTTTTTAAAGCTGTACCTGTTTGTCGCAAATTGTAATAGTGTTTAAAGTCCAATTTGATATCGTCTAATAAAAAATTAGTTTTAGAAAGCTTTTTATCACTTTTAAAATACAACCATTTATATATAACTGATATTAACATATGAAATGGTAATATAAATTGATTATTAATTAAAAATTCTAATATTAAAATAAACTTAATGATTATTTTCTGTTTGTATGAAAGTGTCATGTAAGAAATATTTTTAATAAAAATTATTTATTTATTTTACCCATAAAAACAATAACAAATGGAAAGTAACGTAAGTGGGGATTTATACAAAGATATAGATGAAACATTATATAGTAGACAATTGTATGTGTTAGGTCATGAAGGTATGAAAAATATGATGGAGTGTAAGGTATTAGTTATTGGATGTGATGGCCTGGGACAAGAAGTATGTAAAAACATTATATTAGCAGGATTGCATTCTGTAAGTATATACGATAATAGTAAAGTAATTGAGAATGATTTATTTGGTGGGTATTTATTTAATAAGAATGATATTGGTCAGTTTAAAAGTGTAGCTATTTTATCTAAGTTAAAGGAATTTAATAAGTATGTTCGTATTGATGTTATTAAATCAATTGAATTAGAAGTAATTAAGGATTATAATATAATTGTATCAGTCAATCAAGATTTTGATTTTAATGTTAAGTTAAATAGTATAACACACAAAGAAGGTAAAAAGTTTATAATGGCAAATAGTAGTGGTTTATTTCTACAGGTATTTGTAGATTGTAATGATCATGTCATTATTGATAAGACTGGAGAAAATTTAAATAATGGAATGGTCAATGATATTAGAGAAGGTTTAGTTACACTAGCGGATGGATTTAACCATAATTTATATGAAAATGATCATATTAAATTATCCAATCAGGGTGGTATTTTTAAAGTTATAGAGATTATTAATAAAACATCGTTTAAAATAGAAAATAAAAACAACATTTATGATGAAATAGTAAATGGTGTTGATTATGAAGAAGTAAGATTACCTGAGAAAGTACAACATGAAGAATTATCAAAAGTATTAAATGACGAAAGTAAAATCCTTAAATATGATTATAAAGATGAGAATGATATGCATAATTTATTTACTAATAAGGAATGTAGTAAAAAAGAATTATTAGATGAGTTTAATAATACAAAGAATGTACTTTTTATGCCGATATGTAGCATTGTTGGTGGACTTGCTTCACAAGAAGTATTAAAACTTGCCAGTTTTAAGTTTATACCACTTAATCAATTTTATTACTATCATTCTAATTTATACAAAAATGATTCAAGTGATGAAATAATAGAAGAAAATAATTATGTAGTTGAGAATTTATCAAAGTTATTTGATAACAAGTTAATTGAAAAGTTGTTTAACAGTAAAATATTTTTGGTAGGATCGGGTGCTATTGGTTGCGAGAATTTAAAAAATATGGTTATGAGTTATATTGGATTAACTGGTAAAATATCAGTTACTGATATGGATAGTATTGAGAAGAGTAATTTAAACAGACAGTTTTTATTTAGAGAGAAAGATCTTGGTCATATTAAAAGCGAATCAGCTTGTGTTAACATTTCTAAAATCAATAATTTATACAAATTAGGAAAAAATTTAGAATTTTATTCAACTCAGGTTAGTAGGAATACAGAAAATGTATTTAGTGACTCATTTTATAATGATATTGATGTGGTATCGAATGCTTTAGATAACGTTATGGCAAGAAATTATATGGATAGTAGATGTTTATTGCTAAATAAGTGTATGATTGATGGAGGTACTTTAGGTACTAAAGGTCATGTTCAGGTAGTTATACCTAATCTTACTGAATCATACGCATCTAGTCGAGATATGGAAAATAAATCAATACCGCTTTGTACCATCAAATCATATCCTAACACTTTAGAACACTGTATTGAGTGGGCTTTAGAACAATTTAAATTAAAGTTTAATGAAGTAAATGTAAG